CAGTAAACCACTGCCAACAGACCTGACCCATGAATAAACCACTGCAGGTGGACCGTGATGCAAATAAACCCCTCAGATGGATGCTGACACTAGTAAATCACTGAAGGTGGACCTTGACACCAGTAAACCACTGCCAACAGACCTGACTCACAAATAAACCACTGCAGGTAGACCCTGATGCAAATAAACCCCTCAGATAGACCATGAGACCATCAAACCCGTGCAGATGGCCCCTGAGACCAGTAACTCACTGCAGATGGACCCTAACACCAGTAAGTGACTGCAAATGGCCCCTGAGACCAGTAGATCTTTGCAGATGGACCCTGACACCAGTAAATCACTGCCAACAGACCTGACACAAATAAACCACTGCAAGTGGACCTTGATTGAAAATAAACCACTACAGGTGGACCCTTATGCAAATAAACCCCTCAGAAGGACCCTAAGACCAGTAAATTACTGCAGATGGCCCCTGGGACCAGTAACTCACTGCAGATGGAGCCACCCACCAGCGAGAGGCTGCGAAGGAGCTGAGCCCATGACTCATCGGAGCCGAGCACCAGTGTTGGAGCCATGTGGAGTGCAGGAGGCTATCAAAAGCTATGATTTCATCTCCAAACCAGTTCTGTTTTGCTGCTTGATGACAGCTCGGCCCTTTTTGGTACCTGCTGACCTAGAACAAGTCTCTCAAGCTGCACTGAAGGTGGGTCAGTGCAAGGTTTGAAGTGCCTCATGGTGCAGTGAGTGGGCAGTGTGTGCTGTTATTTTCATTGTGCCAAGTCTCCATTATCCCTATTTATAGAGCCTCTGGGATGCAATTCCATGAAGCCTCACCTGCCTCAGCACTTCCCCCTGCAGTGCCCTAGTTCTGGCACAAATCAAGAAGGCTCTAATCTGAGGCTTTGTCCCAAGCCAGACTCAAAATGTTTGGGTTTATAGGGAAGGTCTCTGCATCATTTCACACATTCCTTGCCCTCACCATGGTTGCCCTCCTGCTGTCTCCAGAGCTAACCCCAGCAATCATGGTCCAACAGCATTCCTAAACCCCAACTGTCTCACTGTTCTCTGCTCTCCTGCCCATCCCCAGCTCTCAGCAACTGATTTTGAGGTAGAGCATGGAAGCAGAACAGCAGTTAACTCTACACCCTCACTGCCTAATGATGGGGAACTAATCCAGAGCCATAGCTTTGAATGAAAAGCCCTCCCAGCTTTTATTATTTCTAGGCATCATGTTTGCTTGGAGCAAATCTCAGCAGTCTGAATAATCTTCTCCTTGGCAGAGCAGTGATGTGCACACACCACTTGCTCATGAGGTTCAGGAGTGGAGATCTCAGTCCTGGTGTGTCACAAGTCACTGGGCATTTGCCTCATGGTCTTCTGCTGGGGAAGGATGGGCAGAGATGCCATCTGCCTGCAGCCCAGGTGTCCTCACAGACTGGCACTGTGCCAGGAGCAGGTTGCACTCCCTGATACAGCATCAGTGTCCTCAGTCTGGTGAGATTTGGGGCTTACTTGAAGCTCTGTGTTGTTGCTGCATCTTCAG